TGATGTATGAATCTTTGGAAAGGAAATGATTTCAGATTAAAAAAACTCAATAATAATAAGACTAATTTATAAATTATAAAATATTTTAAAACATCATATCAAACCAGCATAAACCAGCATAGTGAGACATTTACCTTTAATAGCCAATAATTATGATGATTCATTTCTGGACCATATGTATAACAATTCCATCTCAGGAGACATCAAAATTTTCAATTTAATAATTAATTAATACAAAGTTATGTAAAAAAAATATATTAAAATCATAAGAATTTATTTGGATGTAACCTACAATTATCAAAATCAAATTAGTGGATTCAATCAATAAAGAAAAGTGTTAAATCTTTTAAAAATTTAGCCGAAAAATAACTAAATTTACACATCCCCACTTGACATAAATGTTGTGCAGTGTTGATTTGTTGATAAGATAAAAGATGATTTTGTGATTTGTATTCGAAAGATATATCACTACTCATCAATCAAACTACGAATTAACATGATATTTGGTAAAAATAAAATAAAATCACAAAACTATTCTGTAAAAGTATCTGTCTCTAACTGCACAAACCAGTACACATTAATAGTTCACTGAACTTAACTGGTTTGTCAGAAAAGTTTTTATTAATTACGGTACGGTTCATTCATTACATAACTCCATTAATATTATTGTTTTGAAATATCCTTTAATTAAATCTGAGTTCAACTCTTCCATGACTAGAGTTATCTATCAATCTCTTTAAAAAAATTTCAATAAAATTATAAATTATTTAATCTATTACTAAAACAAATTTACATGAAAAAATATATAATACAAGAAAAATTACATATTCTCATAAAATATTATGTATAGAAATCTTGTTAATTTTATAATAATAATTAAAAAAGTGATATCAATCTTAAATTTGAAATAATATATACATGATTTTAAATTTAAATTATTATTATTATTATTATTGTAAATAAAAGAATTATAAATTATAACTGGTTTATACTTTTATTATTATTATTATTATTATTATTGTCATAATAATAAAGTTGAGATAATATATACATAATTTTAAATTTAAACTTTACTTTATTATTATTATTATTGTAAATAAAAGAATTATAATATATATATATATATATATATATATATATATATTTATAAATGAGTATAAAAAATTTTATTACTTATGAATATCCATTTATTATACATGGTAATTTTTATTCAAAGATATTTGTGAATACAAATATTTTTTGTCATCCTTATCCAAGAGTTAGAGAAATAAAATTTAGCATGTTAGATTAGATCATACTCTTAATTTAGGCTTGAAAAAGGATTAAGTCAATTTTGTTCGACATAATTATTGGAACAAGTAGACTAATAAAAATTAGGTCCATAAGGTACCAATACTATTTCGAGTAATATATTTTTTATTTTCCTATCTAAATTACATATATTTTTTAAAAAAAAAAATTAAGAGACTCAATTTGGCTCAACAGGACAGGCCAACAAAATATGACTCATGTAACCCAATTCATTTGTCATGCTTGGCCGACCGGGATAGGTCAAACTATTTTGACAACTCTAGTACCTATCACTACTTAAGGTAGGTTGAGTACATGTTTGATTTTATATCCGTGATTCACATCTAAACTAGAATCACATCAAATTTGATGTAAAAGCAATTAATTGTTGCTTCACTGATCCACATGTAACAAAAATTGATGTGAATCCAAACATGTTCAAAGAGTTATAGATAAGAAAAATTCTTCATCTCCAATTGAATTGTCCGAAATATATTTTGAAAGTTTTAAAAATTAACTTAAATTATAAAATATTAAATTAAATAATTATTTAATAATAAATTTATTATAAAATATTAATATTTTAAAATTTTGGACCGTGTTTCCGTTCCAAATTTGGAGAATATAGCAATCCTCTATTGACATAATTGTTATTTGTTAGTGGCAACTTTTTGGACTAAAGTGTACCATTATAAGATAGAAAAATTCTTCATCCTCCGATTTTGCCGAAATATATTCCGAAAATTTAAAAAATTAACTTAAATTATAAAATATTAATATTTTAAAATTTCGAACCGTTTTTCCGTTCCGAATTCGGAGGATAGCAATCCTCTATAAAATATTGAGATTTCAACGTAATAATATTTTAAATGTTATTTTGAGGATATTTTAGAGGGAATTGGTCCTTCAACTTATGTCATCAAGACTATATGTACGTAACTTTATTTATTTTATAACTTTATTGCTTGTCTTTATAAGATTTATTTTATTATCTTATATTAATTATTTTTTCTTCATTAAATATCTTTAGTTAATTAACAATTTTTTAAGACAAGAAATATTAAATGTTGAAAATTAATGGGATAAACATTCTTTTGTCTTGTTAAGATGAAGATAAGTAGATACAATTTTCAAATACATCAAGTGAAAAGAGATAATTAATTTTAAAGAAACTTACAAATGAATTTGACTATAAGCTAATTGGACACATTCAAATAAATGTTTGGTACCCAGGTTTATTTTAATAGTTTGTAACTTATTTTCTTAAGTTACTTTAATTAACTTATAAAAACTAGCTGGTTTGTGAAAATAAAATATCTAATAACCTATTTGATTTTTATCTTCATTAATTATCTGTAATATTTTTTTTCCTCATTGTATATAAACCCTTTTATATTTATCAACTAATATTACTAAACATTAAAATTTAATCAATTAATTTATAATTTTTTACTTTTTAATTCTTAAATTATAAGCTAATTATATTAAACCCATTCTAAATTAATAAACTTTCTTTTTGGTTAAAATATATCATGTATCAGGACGGTAGTATTTAGGATGCTCCTTTAACATTATTCTTATTTTTGCACAATTTACTATACTACACCAACAATATATTATTTATGCTTTATATTTAGATCCTAACAGAATCCGACCTATTTGTTATATTTATTTTACCGGCTCACCATTAATAATTTTCTTTTTTATATTTGATTTACCTTTTTTCAAATTTGAGTCAGAAAATCACTAGAAGAAATAAAAGTATAAAACTCAAGAATTACATTTTAACACAATTGCATTCTCATCAATCAAATTCCAAACCGTACTTTAGAACATTTCCTTGCATACACGTTCATGGTAGATCAATAATTTTCTAATAATGTCCGTTACTATTTCAAAAACACCTGAATAACTATAAACTCGATTCATAAATCCTCTTTACAATATTTCCCAAACATACACTTTCGGAATTCGGAAATATTTAAAACTAATTCTCTAATACGGGAATGGCTTTAACAAAATTGCTATGGAATGAAGTTAATAGAAAAGACTAAAAAAGGAAATAATAAACCTACATGTTCACTCATTTTGTTCAACTACGGACAAGAAAGTCAGAAATGGATACAAATGGCTAAGAACTGACTTGATTATTTACCTATACATAACAAATGGTTAAAACTTACAGAGAAGCTCACAGTTCGCTTGTGGAATCAGCTGGTAATCCTCTGCAAGAGCAAGATCAATTCACAGGCTCCCTATGTTGTTTGCGGCTAATATATGCAACATGTGATTTCTCTGGATTTTTAGCTATCAAGTCCTGAAGCTAATTGTTGATCTCACAAGTAGAAAATTCTTTGTAAATATCCCAAAAGGACTTACGTGGCACAAAATTCTTGTTGACTGAAGCAGTTTAGTTCAGCCTGGGATGCAGTTTTTTCTGCAGCCAGCCACCACTCCTCATCTTCATCATCAATTACTTCCTGCTTTAACATATTTTAAGAAACTAATATTCAGTGTTATGTTCATGTGGCCAATTAAGATAAATAAAACATCTTCAGCACAATAATGCTCTAGGACAAAGGCCTTTCTCGTGACAAGTTTAATATTTTGTGACTTTTACCCTCATGATGTAAGGGTCTATCGTATCGATGTGTTATCCACCATTAAGGTCTATTAAGATACATGATACATCAGTGTTTTAAGGGTCACTGTAAACTTCTCGATGTATACAGTCTGTTTTATCAAGAGAGATATTCATGGACCAAAATCCGGAAGTAAGCAAATACACTTCAATAATAATAAATAAATAACTCAAAATTCAAAAACAAGCCATGTTAAAAAAGGTTAAATTACTATGTTCTATAGATTTCAATCAGTAATTGACTCACGCCAACACAACACATTCAGGTACACATACAAAACTCACCCACGCTGCACGTGGGTAGGGATAAGATTGTATTTTGCTCCAAATGAGCGAAAGGTAAGATCCCATCCTACGTCCTCACTCACTTGTAACCTAGTTCTATAATTGAAGACCCATTGGAAAAAGTCACAATAGTTAAGGATGATCAAAGGCCAAGTTGGGTCGGATTTGAAATAAAACCAAATCTAAACCGATTAAATAAGAGTTTAGTTAGATTGAGATCGTTCAATATCTTTTAAGTGACCTCAATCGAACCAATCAAACTCAAGCAAGATTGGATCAAGTTATCGGGTTCCATTCTTTACTATCCAAATTTCAATCTAAGCAAAATACCTAACTTTTTGGATTAGTTTGAGTTCGTTGAATGCACAAAGATTTGATCAGCCATCACCCTGTTGTTTTCCAACCAAAATTTTACCATATTGGAAAAAACACACTGCTATTGCCCTATTGTGTTGTGGAGAAAGATAACCAACTAAGGAGGGAGTCTTATGACAATTGTATTGTAAATGGTAGGGTTGAAAGCAAGATTAAAATGTACTAACCATAGTGCTTAGCTCTGTCTGTGTTTGCTTATTCTCCATATCCTCAACAACTCTTATGGCTTCTAACCACCAAGAATCGTTGGAATTGTCCGCAACAATGTCTTCGTATTGTAGAGAACTTTGTTCCTTGTTATCATCAAGTTGATGTCTCCATTTATCATCAACTGGCTGTTCATCGTCTAACAACCCAAAGGAATCAATTACATCTGAAGGATTGGAGAACACATGAACTGGGATTTGTCGCATGGGAGATCGGTAACCTGTTTCCATGAATTAATTAACATGTTAGAAGAGAATGAAGAACTGAGTGTGAAAAGGGTCTTCAAGCTCTTTGCTGTACATATATTATAACCTCTGCATTCTGGATCATGACATTTCTGATAATAAACGGCCATTCGTAGATCAACCACGTATATGACTGGACCAATAAATCATCAAATGTATTAGAATGTTGCGACCAGATAATAGAGAATACAACAAAATTAAAGACACGGTTCAATCATAAATAATATACAAGGAAGCTCTACTGTATAATCATAAATAATATACAAGGAATCTCTACTGTATAAATCATTAGATCGAAAACTCATTCAAGAGTGGAGATTTTTAACATTCAGATATGGACAAACAGCAGTTCCAGCCTTCCAGGATAAATTAAAAAAAAAAAAAAAAAACTTGCAGGGGAGTTACCATTATTGCTTTTATGCTGTCTGCCAATTCGTTCACAGTATCTATTTTTTGTCATACTGTAGACCATGAGTCCAAATTCCGAGAAAAAATACCAGCTTTGAATTTTTCCTATAATTGCAGAAAAGTATCAACAGTGAGTAGGATTATACTGAAATCTCATGCTTGAAAATTTTATGGACAGCATGAAACCAAATATCAAGACGTTAAGATAAACTGATAAGCAGTAAAATGAAAATAATCCAAAACAATGAAGAATTTTTTCAAATGGGGTCGACAAGCAATTTGTCTCTAGATTTGGAGTCAAGTAGTCGTCTAAAATCTCAAGTCAACAGTTGAGCTCGAGATTAAAGAGATAACAAAATGTATTTAAAAGCGGTGATAAGAAACTTCTACTGAAAAACAAATAACCAATGTAAAGTTAAAAGTTACCCATCAGATTTCTTCAAGGGAAATTCTTTTGATCAGATATGGCACAAAACTTAAGTTTTATTGTGCCGAGAAAGGTTGAAAAGTCATATATATATATATATAT